AAAAAAAGGGGGGGAAACCAGAACACAGAAAAAAAAAAGAAAATTTAAAAAACAAACACTTTTATTTTTTAAACCTTACCAATTTTAAAGATTAAACAAAAGTAAAATACAAACCACTCCAAGTAACTACTAGTTTTCTAACTCCTACTTGAAAGAGTCTACTTCATAGAGGCTGCTTTCAAATAATGTGAGCAAGCTCAGTGAGTTAGGGGTGTGCCTTTATGGGGATACAAATCCCACACAGGTGCAATTAATGAACACTCCCCCAATCAATCAAGCAGCAGCACAAAAAAAGGGGGGAAAACCAGAACACAGAAAAAAAAAAAAAGAAGAAAATTAACAAAATTATTTTTTAAACCTTACCAATTTTAAAGATTAAACAAAAATAAAATACAAACCGCTCCAAGTAACTCCTAGTTTTCTAACTCCTATGTCAGAGGAGTTATTCACACATCCGTTTGAAGAAATGAGTGATGCGCAACCATTATTGCCAGAGGATGTAGATAACAGGGATATGTCTCAGGCAGGCAGCATTACACACATGGACGTACGGTGTGATGATGATGATGATGTTGTACCCGCTGCTGCTTCCTTTGCCGAGTTGTCAGATACAAGTGAAGCGGTTGATGATGACGATGCGTCCATGGATGTCACGTGGGTGCCCGCTCGTCAAGAAGAAGAACAGGGCGAAAGTTCAGATGGGGAGACAGGGAGGAGGAGGAGACGAGTTGGAAGCAGGGGGAGGTCGTCGCAAGGAGCTAGTGGCACAGTCAGACAGCATGCATCGGCACCCGGGGTCAGCCCGACAGCACGCCAATCAACGCATGCTGTGTCCACCACCAGAATGCCGTCATTGCAGAGCTCAGCAGTGTGGAATTTTTTTTGTGTGTCTGCCTCTGACAACAGCGATGCCATTTGCAACCTGTGCCAAAAGAAACTGAGTGGTGGGAAGTCCAACACCCACCTAGGTACAACTGCTTTGCGTAGGCACATGATCTCACATCACAAACGCCTATGGGATCAACACATGAGTACAAGCAGCACGCCTACTCTAAGCCGCCATCCTCCTCCTGGTCCAGCATCTTCAGCCACGTCAACCACTGCTGTCCTCCTTGCCCCCTCTCAACCATCCGCCACTGCGTCTCCCGCCTTGAGCAGTTCCCGCTCATCTGCCCACAGTCATGTGTCTGTCACGGACATGTTTGAGCGTAAGAAGCCAATGTCAGAAAGTCACCCCCTTGCCCAGCGTCTGACAGCTGGCTTGTCCGAACTATTAGCACGTCAGCTTTTACCTTACAAGCTGGTGGAGTCTGAGGCGTTCTAAAAATTTGTAGCTATTGGGACACCGCAGTGGAAGGTACCCGGCCGAAATTTCTTTTCACAAAAGGCAATCCCCAACCTGTACTCGACTGTGCAAAAGGAAGTAATGGCATGTCTGGCACACAGTGTTGGGGCAAGGGTCCGTCTGACCACTGATACCTGGTCTGCAAAGCAGTGGGTACTTTATAAATGGCTCCACCTGCCACCCGTACAGCAACACAGTCTCCAGTTAGGAGGACCGACCAAGCATCTTCTTCCATCTCCCTGTTCCAAAAATCGCTGCCATATACACGTCCACTGATAGGAGACGCAACAGGTATTAAACTGATAAGAATAGTACTAAACACACCACTCCTATCTGGTGGCACATTAGATTGCACGCGCAGTGCCCCTATCTATTCCGCTCTTTGTCAGTGTGTATCAGGGGCTTTGAGGACGGGGAACAGTCTCTATTCTGCTCTTGCATTTCTATTTCTTCTTAGATAACAAAAAAATTCTGAGACGACGTTGGCAGGGCTCTTCACTTGTGTGACCTGTCATGAATTGTCATTTGAATGTTAATTTGAACTGTGTTGTCTGCAAACGTCAGAAAGTCACCCCTTGCCCGGATGTTTTGTTCCTCAGATATATACTATACATTGTCGATGCTAACGATGTGGCTCCTGAGCCGCTAAGGTGCGTTCTGTGTGTGTCCCATGTGTGCAGCATCAGTTTAGTGGTCTCTAGCATGTGTGGTGTTGTCGGCCTCAGGTGTTTTGGCACCCAAAATAAGTGGTGCATGCCCAGTGGGATTCAATATCAACCCATTGCGGTGGGTTTTCTGCCCTGTGTGCCGTGGCCAGCGTGGCTAAAATGGCAGCCTTGTAGTACAGTTTAACGTCTGGGAAGCTCATGCCCCTCCTCCCTGTTAGTCTTTTGATTGTGGAGTGTGCCACCCTGGGTGTTTTATTCGCCCATGTGAATCTCGTGATGGTTTTTTGTAGTTTGACCATATTGCCTGGGGATGGGGATCTGCAGCGTGCGGAATAAATATTGTAGTTTTGGCAACAGTGACATTTTAAATGCCGCTATGCGCCCATGCCACGAGTGGAAGTCACTGTTCCATTGGTCTAACGTCTGAGTAATTTCCTGCAAGAGTTTCTCGTAATTGTATTTAAACATTTGGCAATTAGTCTTGGCTAGCTTGATCCCCAGAAATGTGATATAATCTTCCCTCCAGTCAAAATTAAAGGATTCCGTCAGTGTTTGTAGGGTACGTCCTGGTAGGTGAATTCCCATCGCCTGTGTTTTTGTGAGATTAAGTTTGTAGTAGGATACTTTGTTATAGTCTTGTATGCACTGTAGTAGGTTCGGTAGGGATATTAGCGGTTGCGTCAGGGTCAAGAGTATGTCGTCCGCGAAGAGGTTGAGAGTGTACTCACTGTCCCCCACTTGGACGCCGTGGATATCAGGGTGAGCTCTGATCACTGCAGCCAGAGGCTCCAGTGCCAGTAAGTATAGCAGGGGGGACAGGGGGCACCCCTGTCTCGTTCCGTTGGTGATGACTATCTTTTTTGACACAAAACCTGAATTAAGGACCTGAGCTCTGGGTGCCGAATAGAGTGCTCTGACTACAGAAATGAAGCCCTCCGGTATCCCATACCTCTTTAGGGCCGCCTCCAGGAATCCCCATCCCAGCCGGTCAAAGGCTTTTTCTGCGTCCAATGAGAGCAGAACCCCCCCTTCCCGTGTCACCCCTAGGCTTTGCATGAGGTCAAGGACTTTTCTGGTGTTGTCTGCCCCCTGGCGCCCCGTCACGAATCCCACCTGATCATCATGTATAATGTGTGGTAGTATCGGACCCAGTCGAATAGCGTACAGTTTAGCCAGTATTTTGGTGTCAGTGTTGAGGAGGGATATGGGTCTAAAGTTTTGAGGGTAGGTTGGAGGTTTGCCCGGCTTGGGCAGAGTGATAATGTGGGCTAGCTGCATCTCCCCCGGTAGGGTTTGTGGTCGTGCGGCTTCATTAAAAACCTCTGCTAGGCAGGGGGCCAGTATAACTCTAAACTTGCTGTAATAAGAGTTGGCAAAGCCATCTGGGCCCGGGGCCTTGCCCCTTGGCAGCGTCTGTACGGTATCCCTTACCTCCTCTGGGGTGACTGGTCGGGTGAGTGTTTCTTTCTGTTGAGTTGTCAGGGTCAGAAGGTTGAGTTTGTTTAGGTAAGTCTCTATCTCGGTATCTGTCGGGGTGGTTATGGTTGCGTCATTACGGAGGTTGTACAGGTCTCCATAGTATTGTGCAAACTCGTCGCTAATAGATAGCGGCGACATAACTTTCCCCCCTGCTTTTGTGTGTAGGAATGCTATCTTCTGTGACTGCTGTCGCTTTTTTAACCTCGATGCCAGTAGTTTACCCGCTCTATTCCCATGGGAGTAATGTGCTGTTATTTATTTTAATTTTTTTTGGTGAGGCTTTACAGGACAGAGTGCTTCTCCACGGGACATGTTAACTCACGGGCAGCTGGCTCATCAAGGAACCAGAGCAGCTTTCCATGTACAGGTAAGACACGTGCAGCCGGTAAAGGTTCAGGCTCTTCTTCCTAGAGGATACGCTGCAAGACACAAGCATTGTAAGTCTACTTAGAGTTGGGGGATAAAGCAAATACAAAGAACAGTATTCATTGATCAATGCAGACACCTTATATCTTTGTTTAAGCTGCTGATCCCAAAGAGCCAGTCATTTCCAACTTCCTACTGGATTATATTCAAAGACTAAATGAACGTTAAGCAAGCTTGCGGCCTACAAGAACTTGAACTGGGGTTAGGCAGCCACTTTCCCTGCGCTACAGATCATAGCGTCGACTTACGCTAGCCCCCATCGGACCAGTGGGGGTCATCCCTGACCCGGCTGGGCAATGGCACATTGATATTCTGAACCACAAATCACCCCTAAAGATTGTCGGTGGGCGAGGAGTGGCAGTGTCCTAGATGGTGGACGACACTGCTCATGTTACTCAAGGCAGGATGAGGCACTAAGCTGACCTGAAGTACTTACACAGTCAAATAATGGCTAATCTGGAGGAAGCCTTTGACTGTTTTTGGGACAAATGTTGTAGCCTGTTGAACGAAGTGACCTTGCTCGGGTCCCAGGTGTACGGTTCCTAAAATGGCTGCCATATACACGTCCACTGATAGGAGACGTGGAAGGTATTAAACTGATCAGAACAAAACTAAACACACCACTCCTATCTGGTGGCACATTAGATTGCCCACTTGTATGCTTTGTTCTGTGGACTCACGTCATCCTTAATGAGGCGTTCTCTCATTTGGTCAGTTTTAGACTTGGGATAGTAACATGTAGAGTAATCAGTCGCCAGCCATGAAAGTAGAATAATGCCTGGTGCATCATCTTCATCTATAAATTTGACGATTGCAAATGTATTTGCTACTGCCATATCCAACTTTCACAGAAAAGTAACTCACTCTTATGAAAAAAATAAGATAAAATATACACAAAATAAATGATGAAAGTAATATTATATATCATGTACCCTTGCCTTCATTAAAAATGCAGTTAAGAGGGGGCGTGGCCTGGAGCTCGAGCAGGATGGACGCACGTCTGTGAAGCTCCCGCAGCACTGGGGACGGAGCACAACTAAACGGACTACAGAGCACAAAATAAAGGTACCCAAAGACCCACAATGTCCCAGAGGCAGAAACAAAAAGCTGCCAAAGAAGAACGAGCGTCCTTTTTTATGGCCAGATCCGCCGCGAAAAAAACCGCGGAAAACCGGCGGCCTAGTACAAGATGGCGGCGGAGATTGCTCCCGCGAGGGATCCATGTCACCTACAACTTCTATCACCTCCCTGGCAGAGGAACAGCCCCTTACCACAACCTCAATGAGGCTCATGCTGGCCGAACTAGCTGACAACTTTCAGCTGCTATGAAGAAACAACTGCACAACCTGGCAACAGAGTTAAGGAAAGATGTTGCGGACATAGGCCAGCGTACAGCCCAAATAGAGCAGAAACTGGATGATTGCACAGATGCCCATAACTACCTGGCTGAAAAAGTGCAGGACTACGAAACACAACTAAATAACCTTAAAACAAAAGTGGCTGACCTGGAAGACCGCTCCCGGAGGAACAACATCTGGATAAGGGGCATCCCTGAAACGATACTGCCGGCGGGCCTGGGTGACTACCTCCAAGACATGTTCCAAGCGCTAGCTCCAGCCATCCACCCAGACCAGATGGTAGTCGACAGGGTGCATCGCCTAAGACGGCCACAACACATGCCGCCCACCACAGAGAGGGATGTCATCGCACGCATACATTTTTTCCACGTGAAAGAACAGATCATGTGAGAAAGCAGAACGGCAGGCATGCCGGACCTGTATGGACACATCAAAATTTTTGCCGACTTATCAGCAGAAACATTACAGTTTAGGAAAAGTTTGACCCAGATCACAGCCACCCTGCGAGAGAAGAACATCGCCTACAGGTGGGGATACCCAGCCAAACTACTGATCCACCGCGAGGGGAAAATGCACGTGATACTCAACACAGAAATGGGGCTCCTTAAACTCAAGGACTGGGGCATACAGGTCGCAGAGGAGGTGAAACAACACCGCCATAAAATCCCCAGAGTAACAAGAGACTGGTCAACCGCCTGAACACCGCAGTCACCTCTTGCCTCCAGAAGGCGACAAGCGGTCACCGACCCATGAGTATACCACTAGAGACTTAAGATGACAAGAATGTGAGTTTAAAGTAACAAATGTATTCATTCTGTTCCCCCTTTGGTTTGGTTTGGTTTTTTGCACCCACATTGCCAAGTACAGGTGCCCAAAGTTACAGGTTCAGGGGTTAGTACACAGGACCTCTGGGGCACAGGCGCAATACTCTAGGGCCAACTCATTGGAAGGCCCCTGGATCAAAATCCTAGAGGGCGCCTCTATACTTTTGTTGCAACGCTGTGATCCCACTATTGCAACCACGGTTGAGTCCCCGGATTACGACCGGGCTCATACACCCACCCCCCAACGACTGTGACCGGGATTCTCCCGGCGCATCTTGGCTCCCCGAGATGGAGCCCTTTCAGGCGTACTGCCTATCTGTTTGTCCCACACCCCCTATGTGTTTCTTACCTTCTAATGTCCCCTACCCCCAGGCCCCACAAAGCATCAAAAGACGCCAACCACCCCCCCATAACCATGCCGACTCGAAGACAACCAAACTAAGTGCCATTACAGATATGCCCACGATTAGATTTAGAGACTACCTAGAACACCGTTATGAAATTAGTCACCTACAATGTAAAAGGGCTAAACACCCCGGGTAAAAGGAGGCTACTACTGAATGACCTCACTGTGACGAAGTGCCCTTCGCCACTTGTGCCTGGAGAGGACTGCTTGCCCGCCTCTTGCCCTGTGACTATGGCCCCTGGAATGTATTGCTCTTTAAAGACATGATTTGGGCATAATGGATTTGTGTTGTGCTGCTGCTGGCCCTTTAAGAACCATCTGGGGACATACTGTGGAGTTACTGGGTGGCCACCATTTCCTGTATGAGAAGCACATGGTGAGAACAATGGATGGCGGCCATTTTAACTCACAGACACTGTTTGGACTTTTCAACACGGTGCCATCTCGCCAGTATTTGGTGCACAGAGACATCGTGCGGTGGTTTTTGACTATACAGCAGGGGACACATTATACAGTGATTGTTTTTCATTTAGCCTGTATATGTTCTGCAGAATCTACATTAAACTGTATTTTCCAAAGTACTGAACGGATCTGGGTGAATTTTGGATATGTGGTTCAACCAGATCCCCCGGTTCCAATGATATACTTTTTATGGGGTTATTGCATGTTTTGGGGTCCCTGTGTTTTATGAAACTGTATTATTTCTGGCCAGCAGATAATTGAGCTTTGTGTATTGTAGAAACTCAATTATCTAGCCTGGCCCAGAGGAGGAGTTTCGTGTTGCATAAATTGTGAGTTCTGTGTGCCAGTAAATCAGTCTTGTTCCAGCATTAAGCCTTGGCTCATGTTTGGGGGATTGGAGAAATACACTCTGGGGATTGCTATAATCACTATACTCCCCAGGGTATGATCACTAAATTCTGCTAAGAGCTTGTTCCTGTTCCTGTTCCTGCTCTCTGGGGAAAGAGAGGTTCACCCACTGGAAGCTGGATCCCGGCCTTGGGTCCAGGGTGGGTGGAAACAGCAGAGACCCCGGCGCAGTTACATCGCTGGAAGTGGGGTCTGCAGTGCTGATGGTGTCGGTTGGAGTGCTTGGAGTCCTCAGCGAGCACTAGGAGCATCGATTGGCGGAGGTACTCAGTCGGAGTGCCAGCGTTCCGTCACACTCACGAAAAACCAGATCGACATAGCATGTATCCAGGAGACACACTTTAGGGACGACCACACCCCGGCAATATACACAAAGGTGTACCCCCACTCAGTTCCACTCCCAGGCCGCCACTAAATCAAAGGGGGTAACAGTCCTTATTCACAAAGATGTAGCAATTACCATACACCATCTCGCCAGTATTTGGTGCACAGAGACATTGTGCGGTGGGTTTGGACTATACAGCAGGGGACACATTATACAGTGAAAAACCAGATCGACATAGCATGTATCCAGGAGACACACTTTAGGGACGACCACACCCCGGCAATATACACAAAGGTGTACCCCACTCAGTTCCACTCCCAGGCCGCCACTAAATTAAAGGGGGTAACAGTCCTTATTCACAAAGATGTAGCAATTACCATACACCAAAAGAGTATAGACCCGAAGGGTAGATATATTATATTAGTGGGCCAGTTCAACAGCATCCAACTTACGCTGATAGCCACATACTTCCCCAACAAGCGACAGGGACAATACCTGCGAATGCTGCTTAACAAAATTGACGGGATTAAACAAGGCAATATAATCCTATGTGGGGATTTTAATAGTATCCAGTCGCCCACACTAGATACAACAGCCACTCTCACAGGTAACAGTAAAAAGAGAATAGCCGCTACAAGCAAACTAACCACTAAGTTGATAGAAGATTATGACTTATACGATGCATGGAGGGCACTAAACCCAGAGGAGAGGGACTACACCTTCCACTCAAGGGCTCATAACACATACACACGCATAGACGCAATCTTCCTGGATAGGACACTCCTGGCACAACTCAAGAAATGTACAATAGGGGAAATAACATGGTCAGACCATGGACCGGTGTACCTAGATCTCCTTGACGCCTACCAATTCAAGGGGAGGGGGACGTGGCAACTGAACGACTCACTTTTACTGAACTCAACCTTTGTGCGGGAGAGTAGGGAAGCACTCCAAAACTATTTTACAACTAATGCAGGACAGGGGGTCTCAGATACTACAGTATGGTCAGCACATAAGGCAGTTATGAGAGGGGTATTTATCAGAAGGGCATCCTTCCTGAAACGGCACCACCAAACCACACTCCTAGACTGTCACAAACAAATAGCACTGGTAACCAAACAAAACAAACAACAACCCTCCCCAGCACTGGCAGCACAACTAAAAAAGCTGCACTCGAGGCTAAACGAACTAAAAGCAGAAAAAACAAAAACCTTACTCTATAGATTAAAAGCCAATGTCTACCACAACGGAGGCAAAGCCAGTAAATACTTAGCCAATAGACTGAGAGCCAGATATGCCAACACAAAAATTACTAGAATCACGGGGGCAGACGGCAAAATACACCACACGCCAGCGGACATCAGCAAAGAATTTGCTGAATTCTACTCCAAACTATATAATCTACAAACACTAGACACCACACACAGGGCAAGCCCCGTGGACATAGACGAATACCTGAGACAAACCAATCTCCCCCAAATATCTCAAACACAAAAAACAAATCTGACAAAACCCATAGAAATTCAGGAAATCCTGAAGGTAATAGCAGGCCTCCCCAATGGAAAATCCCCAGGGGCAGACGGCCTCACTAATGCCTACTATAAACTCCTTGCCAAGGAACTCGCCCCACACCTACTACGAGTGTATCATGCAGCCTCGAACTCAGGAACACTACCACCGGAGATGCTACTGGCCACAATTGTCACACTCCCCAAACCAGGAAAGACACCAGATAAATGCCAAAACTATTGCCCGATCTCACTGCTCAATACTGATGCCAAAATATACGCTAAAATACTAGCCAACAGACTCAAAGACATGCTACCCGATCTCATAGGGGATGACCAGACCGGGTTCGTGACTGGTAGACAGGGATTAGATAACACTAGAAAACTGACTCTACTACTAGAGGGCCTACGGAGACATAGGAAAGGAGGACTGTTACTAGCCCTGGACGTGGAAAAAGCGTTTGATCGCCTTAACTGGACCTTCCTAGACAGAACCCTAAGAGCGTACGGACTCCCCCAAACAACGATAAATCAAATATTCGCTCTATACTCCACCCCGGCAGCACAAGTCCTCCAATCAGGATTCAAATCCAACCCCTTTGCTGTCTCTAATGGGACGAGACAAGGTTGCCCACTCTCCCCTCTCCTATATGTGTTGGCACTGGAACCCCTCCTTCGCACCATCAGGGCCCACCCCGAGATTAAGGGTATTACAGTAAAGAACATCGAATACAAAATCAGTGACTTTGCAGATGACGTCTTACTCTATGTAACACAACCCCAGGATTCATTACCTCACATAATGCAGGCAATAAGAACATACGGTCTCCTATCGTACTACTCCCTAAACTCTTCAAAAACACAAGCCATGGGGATTAATCTTCCCTCCACTTTAACCGAATCGCTACGCATCAAATACGACTTCGAATGGAGGAAAGACTATATAACATACCTAGGGCTCCACATCACCAGATAGAACAAAGACTTGATAACGGGGAATTATATTAGAGTCTGGAAGG